ACTGAATATCAGACCAGTAACAGACTGAATATCAGACCAGTAACAGACTGAATATCAGACCAGTAACAGACTGAATATCAGACCAGTAACAGACTGAATATCAGACCAGTAACAGACTGAATATCAGACCAGTAACAGACTGAATATCAGACCAGTAACAGACTGAATATCAGACCAGTAACAGACTGAATATCAGACCAGTAACAGACTGAATATCAGACCAGTAACAGACTGAATATCAGACCAGTAACAGACTGAATATCAGACCAGTAACAGACTGAATATCAGACCAGTAACAGACTGAATATCAGACCAGTAACAGACTGAATATCAGACCAGTAACAGACTGAATATCAGACCAGTAACAGACTGAATATCAGACCAGTAACAGACTGAATATCAGACCAGTAACAGACTGAATATCAGACCAGTAACAGACTGAATATCAGACCAGTAACAGACTGAATATCAGACCAGTAACAGACTGAATATCAGACCAGTAACAGACTGAATATCAGACCAGTAACAGACTGAATATCAGACCAGTAACAGACTGAATATCAGACCAGTAACAGACTGAATATCAGACCAGTAACAGACTGAATATCAGACCAGTAACAGACTGAATATCAGACCAGTAACAGACTGAATATCAGACCAGTAACAGACTGAATATCAGACCAGTAACAGACTGAATATCAGACCAGTAACAGACTGAATATCAGACCAGTAACAGACTGAATATCAGACCAGTAACAGACTGAATATCAGACCAGTAACAGACTGAATATCAGACCAGTAACAGACTGAATATCAGACCAGTAACAGACTGAATATCAGACCAGTAACAGACTGAATATCAGACCAGTAACAGACTGAATATCAGACCAGTAACAGACTGAATATCAGACCAGTAACAGACTGAATATCAGACCAGTAACAGACTGAATATCAGACCAGTAACAGACTGAATATCAGACCAGTAACAGACTGAATATCAGACCAGTAACAGACTGAATATCAGACCAGTAACAGACTGAATATCAGACCAGTAACAGACTGAATATCAGACCAGTAACAGACTGAATATCAGACCAGTAACAGACTGAATATCAGACCAGTAACAGACTGAATATCAGACCAGTAACAGACTGAATATCAGACCAGTAACAGACTGAATATCAGACCAGTAACAGACTGAATATCAGACCAGTAACAGACTGAATATCAGACCAGTAACAGACTGAATATCAGACCAGTAACAGACTGAATATCAGACCAGTAACAGACTGAATATCAGACCAGTAACAGACTGAATATCAGACCAGTAACAGACTGAATATCAGACCAGTAACAGACTGAATATCAGACCAGTAACAGACTGAATATCAGACCAGTAACAGACTGAATATCAGACCAGTAACAGACTGAATATCAGACCAGTAACAGACTGAATATCAGACCAGTAACAGACTGAATATCAGACCAGTAACAGACTGAATATCAGACCAGTAACAGACTGAATATCAGACCAGTAACAGACTGAATATCAGACCAGTAACAGACTGAATATCAGACCAGTAACAGACTGAATATCAGACCAGTAACAGACTGAATATCAGACCAGTAACAGACTGAATATCAGACCAGTAACAGACTGAATATCAGACCAGTAACAGACTGAATATCAGACCAGTAACAGACTGAATATCAGACCAGTAACAGACTGAATATCAGACCAGTAACAGACTGAATATCAGACCAGTAACAGACTGAATATCAGACCAGTAACAGACTGAATATCAGACCAGTAACAGACTGAATATCAGACCAGTAACAGACTGAATATCAGACCAGTAACAGACTGAATATCAGACCAGTAACAGACTGAATATCAGACCAGTAACAGACTGAATATCAGACCAGTAACAGACTGAATATCAGACCAGTAACAGACTGAATATCAGACCAGTAACAGACTGAATATCAGACCAGTAACAGACTGAATATCAGACCAGTAACAGACTGAATATCAGACCAGTAACAGACTGAATATCAGACCAGTAACAGACTGAATATCAGACCAGTAACAGACTGAATATCAGACCAGTAACAGACTGAATATCAGACCAGTAACAGACTGAATATCAGACCAGTAACAGACTGAATATCAGACCAGTAACAGACTGAATATCAGACCAGTAACAGACTGAATATCAGACCAGTAACAGACTGAATATCAGACCAGTAACAGACTGAATATCAGACCAGTAACAGACTGAATATCAGACCAGTAACAGACTGAATATCAGACCAGTAACAGACTGAATATCAGACCAGTAACAGACTGAATATCAGACCAGTAACAGACTGAATATCAGACCAGTAACAGACTGAATATCAGACCAGTAACAGACTGAATATCAGACCAGTAACAGACTGAATATCAGACCAGTAACAGACTGAATATCAGACCAGTAACAGACTGAATATCAGACCA